AAGCGAGAGCGAGAGAGAACGACAGCAGGGCCACGAAGGACACGAAGTAGGCCACGAAGGGCGACAGCGGGGACACGAATGGAATGCGTATGGGGCCACGAAGAGCGCGAACAAGCAGATAATGCGGGGCCTCAGAAGGCAACTATGGGGCCACTGGTAGTAGCAACTGGGCCACGTAGAACAGTGAGGGGGACACACATGGCGACAGCGGGGCCACGAAGGGCATGCACATAGGGCCACAACGGGCGCGACTCCTGGGTGCCTGGGTGTCGGGAGCGTGTCGCGTGGACCAATTGCAAGAAATTCCAACGCAAGGCCATTCTTCAGTAAGTTGCAAGCAAGTCTCCAGCGAGAGCGCGACTCCAGAGCGCCGGGAAAACGATTCCTGAATAAATCGTAAGGAAGTCCCTAGCGAGAGCGCGATTCCTGAATAACATGCGAGGACGTCTCGGGCGGGAGCGGGTTCCTGGCTAAATTGCAAGGAAGTCTCAGGCGGGTACAGTTGTTGTTGTAGCCCGGGGCCAGGGGCCCACTTTGAGCAGGAAAACTTTCCCGTCGAGGGGCACACTGTGATTGAGAAAAAAACAGTATGCACTGGTGGGGGGGATCAACAACAATTATTCGTCAGAAATGAGAATTCAACAACAACAACAACAACAACAACAACAACAACAACAACAACAACAACAACAACAACAACAACAACAACAACAACAACAACAACAACAACAACAATAACAACAACAACAACAACAACAAGCAACAACAACAACAACAACAACAACAACAACAACAACAACAACAACAACAACAACAACAACAACAACAACAACAACAACAACAACAACAACAACAACAACAACAACAACAACAACAACAACAACATCATGTTAAGACTGTTCGCCCTTATCTGCTCGAGTGTCGAAAAACGCGAGTTTCCCAAATCCTCGATACCCGCCCTCTTCGTCTTCGATCGAACCCCTTTTGGGGGGTACACCTTTCTTCCCTGCAGGCCGGGCCCCGGCAAGCGGCGGGGCGGCCGCGGACCGTCGGCCTGGCCAGCGGCAGCGCTGATCGGCGGGGCGGCCGCGGACCGTCGACCCGACCCCAAGAGGGACGGACAGGGGACCGACCACGACGACGACGACGACGACGTCGACGACGTCGAAGACGACGGCGACGGCGACGACGACGACGAGCGAAAGCGAGAACGAGAGAGAACGACAGCAGAGCCACGAAGGACACGAAGTAGGCCACGAAGGGCGACAGCGGGGACACGAAGGGAATGCGTATGGGGCCACGAAGAGCGCGAACGAGCGTGGGCCACGAAGGGCAGATAATGCGGGGCCACAGAAGGCAACGATGGGGCCACTGAGGGTAGCACCTGGGCCACGCAGGACAATGAAGGGGCCACAAACGGCGACAGCGGGGCCACGAAGGGCATGCACATGGGGCCACAACGGGCGCGAACGAGCCGAGGCCACGAAGGGCATACGTATGTTGGGCCGTGGAGGGTACGGACGGGGCCACTGAGGGCAGCAACGGGGACACGAAGGGCAGCGAGGGGGCCACGAAGGGCGACAGCGGGGCCACGAAGCCACGAAACAAAGCGAGGGGGCCACGAAGGGCTGCAACGGGGCCACGAAGGACAGCGAGGGGGCCACGGAGGGCTGCAACGGGGCCACGAAGGGCTGCAACGGGGCCACGAAGGGCAGCGAGGGGGCCACGAAGGGCTGCAACGGGGCCACGAAACAAAGCGAGGGGGCCACGAAGAGCTGCAACGGGGCCACGAAGGGCAACGAGGAGGCCACGAGGGGCTGCAACAGGGCCACGAAACAAAGCGAGGGGGGCACGAAGAGCTTCAACGGGGCCACGAAACAAAGCGAGGGGGCCACGAAGGGCTGCAACGGGGCCACGAAGGGCAGCGAGATCCCGATTCCTGGGTAATCTGTGAAGGAGTCCTAAGCGTGAGCGCGGCTCCTGGGTGCCTGCGTGTCGGGAGCGCGGCGCTGGACTAAATTGCAAGACATTCCAACGCAAGGGCGCTATTCTTCAGTAAATTGCAAGCAAGTCTCCAGCGAGAGAACGACTCCAGAGCGCAGGAGGAGCGATTCCTGAATAAATCGCAAGGAAGTCCGAAGCGAGAGCGCAATTCCTGAATAACATGCGAGGAAGTCTCGGGCGGGAGCGGGGGTCCTGGCCAAATTGTGAGGAAAACTCAGGCGGGAGCCGTTGTTGTTGTAACCCGGGGGCCAGGGGGCCAGTTTGAGCAGGAAGACTTTCTTTGACAAAAAATAAGGTGCGAGCCCCGGGGGGGGCACTTCAATTCAAAAAAAACAATGTGCACCGGTGGGGGGGGATCAACAATAATTATTCTTCAAGAGTGAATTCAACAACAACAACAACAACAACAACAACAACAGCAACAACAACAACAACAACAACAACAACAACAACAACAACAACGACGACAACGACAACGACAACGACAACAACAACATCAACAACAACAACAACAACGACGACGACGACGACGACGACGACGACGACGACTACGATTACGACTACAACCACGATGCGACGACGACTGCGACTACGATTACGACTACAACCCTGCAGCCACGACTACGATTACCAATGCAATCGCGACTACAAGCACAATTACAATCGCGAGTACAACCACGACCACAATCACGACTACAAACAAATCCACTGATCCGCATTGCGGTCCTCATGAGAAGATGCTCACCAATCCTCTCGCGCATAGGGTAGCCCACAATGGATTATTCCCTGGGGGAAAGACCCCTTGCATGGTCAAGCCAGCCCAAGAACGACAGGGAAGTAACAGCCGAGGGATGCACCCAACCTTTTTAAGCATGTGGCGAATTTACATCGGAGCGCTCCATAATCATTGAATGACCCGCAGTGCCCTTGAACGCTTCGCCAAAGAACGTCGGGCCGGAATCAGATGTTTCACATATGCGGCGTCACTCTGAAGAGTCAGGTCGTTCGGAGAAGAGCGACCACGAGGGGGCGTGGAAACATGTGGAGGAGGAACGATTAGAGACATGATTCGTGGGAGCAGCATCGCCTTGCGCTGTGTTCGCATTGCAGGACAACGCTCTGCAAGGGTGCCGCCCAATCTATGGACGCAAGGGTGCCCTTGGGAAGGTTATCCGTCCTTATCCGTCTATAGGGCGACTATAAACAGGGCTGGGATCACACCTGCCTGTACCTCATGTGCTCAGCCCTGTGCCTGACTGCCGTTGGGCTATAAATCCAGCCGCCCATGCCTCATGGGACTGGTGGCGACAGTTTCACGGATCGCAAGCCCCCAGGGGATGGCGAGCTACAGATGTGATGTGCGTAAGACGTCACTCCGCTGGCACTCCGAGGAGCCCACGAAAGTGGCGACAGTTTCGCAGATCACAGCTAACCCACAGGACGGCGAGCTATAGTTGTGATGTGCGTAAGAGGTCACTCCGCTGGCCCTCCCAGAAGCCCATCGCAATCCCCCCGTGGGTGCGGCGAGGTCCCGTGGTAATCCGCGTATGACGTCACTCCGCTGGCCCTCCCAGAAGCCCACGAAAGGGGCGGCAATTTTCGCAGATCGCTACCCACCCGTGGGGACGGCGAGATCTCGTGGTGATCCGCGTAAGACGTCACTCCGCTGGCCCTCCCAGAAGCCCACGGGAGTGGCGACAATTTCGCAGATTGCAACCCCCACTCCCGGGATGACGGCGAGGTCTCGTGGTAATCCGCGTATGGCGTCACTCCGCTGGCCCTCCCAGAAGCCAGTCGCAGCCCCCCGGGGCGGCGAGGTCTCGTGATAATCCGCGTAAGCCGTCACTCCGCTTGCCCTCCCAGCAGCCCACGCCAATGGCGACAAGTTCGCAGATCGCAAACCCCCAGGGGGCGGCAAGGTCTCGAGGTGATCCGCGTAGGACGTCACTCCGCTGAATCTCCCAGAAGCCCACGAAAAAGGCGGCAATTTCGCAGATCATAGCCCCCCAGGGTGCGGCGAGGTCAAATGGTGATCCGCGTAAGACGTCACTCCGCTGGCCCTCCCAGATACCCACGAAAGGGGCGGCAGTTTCGCAGATCACAGCACCCCAGGGGGCGGCGAGTCTCGTGGTGATCCGCGTATGACGTCGACCACTCCGCTGGCCCTCCCAGAAGCCCGCGAAAGTGGCGGTAGTTGCGCGAATCGCAGCCCCCCGAGGGTGCGGCGAGGTCTTGTGGTGATCCACGTATGACGTCACTCCGCTGGCCCTCCCAGAAGCCCACGAAAGGGGCGGCAATGTTCGCAGATCCCCCCCCCCCCCCGTGGGGACGGCGAGATCTCGTGGTGATCCGCGTAAGACGTCACTCCGCTGGCCCTCCCAGAAGCCCACGGGAGTGGCGATAATTTCGCAGATTGCAGCCCCCCCCTCCAGGGATGACGGCGAGGTCTCGTGGTAATCCGCGTATGGCGTCACTCCGCTGGCCCTCCCAGAAGCCAGTCGAAAATGGCGGCAAATTCGCAAATCGCAGCCGCCCAGGGGGCGGCGAGGTCTCGTGATAATCCGCGTAAGACGTCACTCCGCTTGCCCTCCCAGAAGCCCACGGCGGTGGCGACAATTTAACATATCGCAGCCCCCCAGGGGGCGGCAAGGTCACGAGGCAGGGAGGAGGAGGAAGACAACGAGGAGGAGCAAGGAGGGAGAAAGGAGGAGGGTGGAGGAGGAAAGACGGAGACCACGGTGCTATATTCAAAACGAGAACCCAACCAAGGGAGGGTTGGGGACAAAAATCCCGCCGCGACGATGACGACGACTGCGATCACGACTACGCTCCTCCTCCTCCTCCTCCTCCTCCTCCTCCTCCTCCTCCTCCTCCTCCTCCTCCTCCTCCCCCGCCTCCCCCCCCTCCTCCTCCCCCTCCTCCCCTCCCTGCGGAGGCGGGCGGACGGAGCCCCACCCGCCCCGAGGCAGGACACTGGCAGGACACGGAGGCGTGACGGTGCTCACCCGAGGGCGGTCCTCTCCACCACCATGCAGACGACGTACTCCGCCAGCACGTCGCGCGTGCCCTCGGCAGCCGAGCGGGGGGGGTCTGAGCCCACGACTCCCCCCCACCCCGGGAGGGAGGGAGGAGATGGGAGAAGAGGGCGAGGACAGTGAGGACGACGACGAGGAGACACAGAGGAGGAGGAGGAGGAGGAGGAGGAGGAGGAGGAGAAGAAGGTGGAAGAGGAGGAGGAGGAGGAGAAGGAGGAGGAGGAGGAAGCACAACACCGAGAGCCACACCTTGCCATCGTTCGGACGTCGCCATCGTTCGATCGTCCATTTCTGGTGTGTGTGTGTGTGTGTGGCGTGTGTGTGTGTGTTTGTGTGTTTGTGCGTTTGTGTGTAAGTGCGTGTGCGTGTGCATGTGTGTATGGTGTGTGTTTGTGTGTTTGCGTGTGTGCGTGTGTGTGTGTGTGTGTGTTTGTGTGCGTGTGTGCGTGTGCGTGTGTGCGTGTGTGCGTGTGTGTGTGTGTGTGTGTGTGTTTGTGTGCGTGTGTGCGTGTGCGTGTGTGTGTGTGTGTGTGTGCGTGTGTGCGTGTGTGCGTGTGTTTGTGTATTTGTGTGTGCTTGTGTGTTTGTGTGTTTGTGTGCTTGTGTGTTTGTGTGTGTATGTGTGTGTGTGTTTCGATGTCGTGCGCTCATGTGTCGAGAATGATCCAAGATGCTCCTCAATGGTCCTCGACGAGGAGAGAGTGCACACGTCCGAACGATGCCAAGACACGACCGAAGGCAGCATTGCTCGAGTGAGGACCAACCGCCCCGCCCGTCGCCTCGCCCGCCCCACACGGGCCCCCAGAGGGAGGCGAGACGCGCCGGAGCGCGAGGGAAGCTCGCCGGCTGGGCGGAAGCTGCAGTCGAGCCCAGGGCGCTGTCCAGGACAGAAGCGTGGCGGGCCTACTGAGGCAGCGCGATAGTGAAGGGGCCCCAGGACACACAAATAAAAACACACAAATAAAAAGATTCCCCATATTTTACCGTACCTTCTGGGTTTTTGTCTTCCCCCCCATTTCCTATATTTTCCTATACTGTCTGGGGAATCGGCGATTCATTGTGTCTGTGTGATTTTTTCCCTCCTGAGATAAGCAGAAGACGAGAAAACGCCATCAGCACAAACTGCTGGCGCTCCAGTTTCTTGGATCCGCGCTGGATTGTTCTCCCGGGCGCGCGGAGCGCGCCAGGAGCGGCGCAGGAGGCGCCGCCGCGGGAGGCCCAGCGCGGATCCAAGAAATCCGCGCGGAGCGCCAAGAGCTTACGTATGCCTATGGCGTTTCTTCCTCGACCTTCTTCGAACAGGAGGAGACTGGCGGGGAAGCGTTGACCTGGATTCGGCGATGCAGCGCCGAGACGTCGGCGGCAGGCCTGCGAGTGGGGAAGGGGCCCAAGGAGTTCCTGGGCAGAGGAGGGGGGCACCCGGGCCCCGGTCGGTGGCGAAATGGGCGCTTTTGCGGGTCGGTGCGTCTTCGACCCCCCTCCCCCCTGGGGCCCAGTTCCCTCCCGACGCTGCCCCACGATCTGCCTCAAGCATCGCCGGGTGACGCAAGGGCTTCGAATTCGCAGTCAGGCGCCTATGACTGTGGATGCCATGACAATCGGCACTCTAACAATCCGATCATTGACTTAAAGGTGTGTTTCAAATGTGTAAAGCCTGCTCTAAAAAATGTCAAACATGTCTTTACACATCTAAAACTGTTTTGACGCACGTTCTGGACATCTGGAAATTATCTGGCAGCATGCTTCCTCTCCAGGATCGTACTCCGCAGCCCCATGATATCAAACTGTGCCACGTGGGCGTGGGCCATGGTCTCCGACACCGCGTGAGCCGCGCCACCTTGAACGACCTCTCCCCTCGAAGGTCACCAGGGCCCAAGGCCAGGCTAACGTTAGGTCGGGCCTGTCCCCCTGCAGTGGGATTTTGGGCGACAAATCAAACATACCAGAGAAAGTACCCCCGAAATACTCAGAGTCACCCCAGTGCGACCCTACCTAGAAGTTGGAGCCCCTAGGACAGCAGCACTAGTTGCTATGTTATGTTATGCTCTGCAATGCTATGCTATGCTATGCTGCGCTGTGCTATGCTGTGCTGTGCTATGCTGTGATGCGCTATGCTATGCTATGCTATGCTATGCTGCGCTATGCTATGCTATGATGGGCTGTGCTATGAGATGTTGTGCTGCGCTATGCTATGATATGATATGCTATGATATGCTGTGCTCTGCTATGCTAAAGCTCAGCGACGCTGAAATGAAGGTAAGCTAAGCTAAGATAAACCTGAGCTAAGATGAAGCTAAGCTAAGCATGCTAAGCTAAGATGAGATAAGCAACGCTAAGCTAAAGGAACGTAACTGGGGGAACCGCGGGGCGGATGCCGGGGGAACCGCCCGGTGCGGGTTACACTGCCCGGCCCCTTTAAGCTAGACGGTAAAAAAACCTTGTAGGCAAAGCCTAGGTGGGGAAATAGTAACAGGCTCTGGGGGTGGAACCTCCCACCCAACCACCCGAATAATAGTGGAATGCACGAGCGATTATATTTTTCAAGTGCGGCGCGGGTGCTCCCCCTCGCACGTTGCCTCCCCGGCGGGGCGAACCTCCCCTAGGCAGAGGAAGGAACACTTTGAAATGGGCTGTGGAGGGCGGGTGATTTGCGACGTTGCAGGGCCCGTGTTTCCCTCTAGCCAAATGGCGACGGAGGGCAAAGCTGCAGCACCGTTCTGCCTCCCACCGTTTCCCCACGCCCCTGTTACACACTACCTACGGTACAATGCCAACAGGCTCTGGGGGGTGGAACCTCCCACCCAACCACCCTAAGAAGAGTGGAGTGCACAAGCGATTATATTTTTCAAGTGCGGCGCGGGTGTTCCCCCTCGCACGTTGCCTCCCCGGCGGGGCGAACCTCCCCACTTGAGGCACGCGCAAGGAGCCCGCGTTGACATAGCCTCTGCTTCCGGATCCCCCTAAGGGAGGGGAAACACTTCTCGCAAAGCTCTCTGTACAGTGCCGACAGACATTGCACGCGCGACGCGTTCGTGGTGCAGGAAAACTGCCACCCGCAGCGCGCAAAACCCCACAGCGTGCCCGCCATGCCGTCGGACACCACCACCGCATGCACCAAATGGGAATCACGATTTTGAAAGAGAGTGTCAAGCTCCGCGGCTGCGACCGCCGCCCTCTCCCGGACGTCCAGGGCGGGAGGTGAACCCATGGCTTCTCCAGTTCCCTGAGGCCCCGTGGCGACCTCGGGAGACCTCTGGAGCAGAAGGAGTTCGGCTGCCAGAGGTTTGCGAAACTGTTCCCACTCCACCGCCAACGTGCCCACGCGGCCCTCCACGGCAGCGACCGAAGACTGCACAGAGGCCGCAAGCGAGTCGATCTGAGCCTGGATGCTGGTCGAAGCTGCAGAACCCCGATGCTTTTGAGGCATTTCCTTAACTAGACGCGCAAGCAGGGGCTCCAGGTCCAAGGGCAACGACGGCGACGAAGAAGACGACGAAGAACCCGCGCGCGCCCCTGCGGATGCCCGGGCGGCCCAAGCGTCAGATCCAGCAAGCGGGGCAGCACGGATGTAACCTAAAACGGCGTCGCTTCCCCAGCGGCCGAGGGGCTGTATCGCCCACGCATCAAGTCCCAGCCTGGCCAGGCTCTGGGCGCCGCCAAAGCGAAGCGAGCACCCCCCCCCCAAAGGGGCAACCCTTCCGCAGACAGCGCCAGCAAACCCAGCAGTCCAGCAGCCGCCCGGACGGTGGCGACCACATGTGCCTTATCGCACGTGCGCCCGCCCGAAGTGGGGAAGAGGGGCAACTCCGCGTCGGGAATCCCGGACACATCGTGCCGAGCCGGAAACTGCGCCCGAAGACGCGCGCTCTGCACCCACAAGGCGTGCGCTGGGCAAACCTCGGACAATTGCCCACGTCCGCAGCAGCAGCCGCAGGTTCGCTCGAGACCGAAAGCTCGAACGTCCGTTTTGGACGCCGGGAGCTGCCGCGTCGCTGCCAGCCTGCCGTCCGACGCCGTGTGGAACGTGACCATGCGGGCCGGCCCGCTAGCCAGCTCAACCTCCGTGGTAAGCCACCACGCATCAGCGACGAGGGCACGCCGGGGCGCCCACTGACCTCCTGGAACCAGGGGCTTTTCCTCACGGGGTAGGCGGCTAAGCCTATCCAAGGGGAGGCCCTCCATGCGGTGCGACGGGCCCATGCCGCGCTCGCACGAGCGCCGGGCCTCGGCAAGTGCCTGCTGCAGGTCGGGGCCGAAGGTGTGATTGTCGTGCTAGTGCAACTTTTTGGGATAAACACAAATGCTGCGACGCCGAGCGGTAGCCGCCCGCCTTCAGCGACGCCCCCAAGACGCGCACATTTGCCCGGGTCAGCGGAAGAAGTTCCAAACCCCACTGGCGGCAAATATTCTAGAGCGTTCTGGTCTTCGCGTCCTCGCTCTGTCGCGTTGTTGTTGCGAGGGCGTCTTTATCGAACTGTGCCAGTGCGTCCTGCTGCGCAGGTGCAGTATCTAACGCTGGCAACCCCCCTCGTCGGTATTCCCGCCGCCCGGGCGCGTCCTCCCGCAGTGGCACCACGGCTGCCTCCCCGGTGCGATGGTCGGGAGGAGCCGCTGCCGCCGTCGTGGGCCCCTCGGAACCGGCGCCACAGGAGCGGCCACTTCCCCCAGGGAGTTCGCCGGCGGGGGCCTGGCGGGGGCCGCGTCCGCGTCGGGCCCTTGAGGGAGGCGAGAGCCTGTTTCCCCCAAGGGGCCCGCGGCTCCCCCAGGTGACCCAAAAAACCCGTTTCCGGCAGCTGCCCGCGCCCCCGCCCCACACTGTCGCTTGCGACCGGGCAGCGCCGCCAGGAGGTCAGCGCGATGCCGTTTCGGCCACGTGGCAAGGAGGGGGGGCCGGGGGGGTGCCACGCAAGCGAGCTCGAGCCTGTGGCGGCCGACCCAGGATGACGGGAAATGCCCCCCGGGGCAACCTGCGTTTGCCACCAGTGCCCTCTTGCTCTGCCCGCCAGCCCCCAAAAGGGCACCCACCGGGCGC